GTCTGAGTCTTAGAAGGATAGAATATCAAAAAGAGCTGATATCCTTGAAAGGTGAATTCTGAGGACCTTATTCAATAGCTGCTTACCTAAACCTAATTAATGTTAGATTTGTTAAAGGAACATTAAAAAAAAAATAATGGTACTGTTTAGCTTGCTCTGTGTGTGTCCTCTTGATGTATGTTGTGACTCCTAGATCATTTTAGTTATCCTTGGATATAATGTACACTTTAAAAAATTGGTTATTTATTTTATTTATTTGGCCTTTTGGTTTTTCCAGACAGTATGGCAAAGTCTGGCTTTGAAGTAGCGCTCCTTCTGCGTCAACCTCCAGAGCCTGAGTTTACAGGAGTGCGCCACCATACCCATCTTAAAAATTAACAAACTTTTTTACTATCTATCTTTCATTTTTATAGGGGGGAATAAAAAAGAAAAAGGCAAGATGATGAAAAAAAAAACAAGCCCAGGAAATAAAAATAAATAAAAATAAGACTTGAGCCCAGCATATCCCTAACTTCGAGCTAGCCTGGCTGCACTTTTTTTCATGCTCTATTTTCAAGACCAAAACAAAACAGCAACCATAGATTCAATCATGGTTGACTTATGATTCCACTTTGAAAACACTAAATCAAACTGGGCATGGTAGCACATGCCCATAATTGCAGTATTTGGGAAACTGAGGCAGGAGGCTGACCAGCCTGAGATGTATAGTAAGACCCTACCTCAAAAAAAACCCAACTCCCCAATAATAATAACAAGAGAGAGAGAGAGAGAGAGAGAGAGAGAGAGAGAGAGAGAGAAATATGGCTTCAGTTTGTTCCTCAGGTCTGGAAACATTTTGATTGTCACAACAGGGTAGTGATTAGAAGCTAGGGGTGCTGCTGAACATGCAATGCACAGGCTGGGTCCCCATCACCAAGTATCTGGTCCAACCTCAGTGGTGTTGAGGTTAAGAAACACTGTGTGGAATCATTAGTGTTGGATCTTTTTTTTTTGAGTCAAGGACTCATGTATCCCAGGCTGCCTCAAACTAGTTATATAGTCAAGGATGATTTTGAACTTCTGATCTTTCTCACTTCCACCTTCCAAGTTTTGGGATTACAAGCATGTGCCAGCAGACCCTGTTTTATATGGTGCTAGGGATTAAACCCATGGCTTTGTGCTTTCAAAGCCAGCACTCCAATCAGCTGAACTGCATCCAGTCCCCAGTCATCTTTGTGTGTGTGCGTGTGTGTGTGTGTGTGCGTGTGTGTGTGTGTGTCTGTGTCTGTGTGGTATTGGAGATTGAACCCAGAGACTTGCCCATGCTAGGCAAGCACTCTACCACTAAATTATAACCTACATATTTGCTTCTTATTGCCTTCATCATCATTATTATTATTGTTAGATTTTTTTGGACAGGGTCTCACTGTGTAGCCCTGGCTGGCCTGGAACTTGCTATGTAGACCCGGTGGTCTCAAACGCACAGAGATCTACCTGCCTGTGCCTCCTGAGTGCTGGGACCTAT